ATCAAGGTGAGAGAGAGAGAGAGAGAGAGAGAGAGAGAGAGAGAGAGAGAGAGAGAGAATATGAATAGTTGGAAGATCCATAAATAGAAAGTTAGAATTTCCAGGTTATGCTTTTAAAGTATAAGTAAGTTTCACTGCAGCTGAAATCTATATCAATTCTGAGAGCAAAAAGTTGAAATTCACTTGAGAGAGACAGAAAGAGAGACACACACAGAAAGAGAAAGAGAGGTACTTGAAAGGTACTTGCCTGTGCTAGCAATCTCTCCCCTGAAACTGCTAGCGACTAGACTCTCACAGCTGCAAACTAGCAAGTCCTGGGCAAGTAGAGTTAAATATTCCTAAAACAGAAATCTAGTCCTGTTATGAAACTGTTCATCACTTCACCTCCTGACAGTCAGGAAAATCAGCAAAACTCAGAAAGGGTTCTGACGGGGAGCAAGCAGCATTGTTCATCAAGTTCAAATGCAGAGTCTCGGCGAGTTTTTCTCCGCCCGCCTCCAGAACGCCCGTTATCAGCCGGGTGAAGGCAATTACTCAGGTAAGAAGGGAGATGGGGAAAGTCTGACCTTGCGTGTTGCTTCTTCAACTTCCCCTTTGCCTGGGAAATAGGAAATTCTGAACAGGGTCGAGGTAAAAAATAGCTTTGTGACCTCTGAATAGATCTTATACACACAAACATCTGAGGAAACTATAAATGCATATATAATCTTATTCCTCCTCCAATGCATGATGCCTGTAACTAAATTGGCACTTTATTATTACAACTGTTAGTGACTGCTATATGCCACAGAATACTCCATAAAACTCCAAGGCCGGGAATCGACTAGTAAAGCAGCTCCCAAATCCACTTATAACTACAAGAAGGGATCTTCCTATTAATAACGGACCCAATCATCTCAAAGCTCTCAGCTTTGTGCTTCAAGAAGAGAAAGGAAATCGTGCTATCGGATCCCCAAGCACACTGCTAAGTTTAATAACATTCCGGGAGTTCTGGGGTTCCCATCCCTTCCCCTCGGCGAAGGGGCATCATCCTATGTCTTTCTCCCAAGCCGGAGACTTCTGTAAACACTTCAGAGCCTGCGTCTGCTTTACAAACCAAATAGCCCACACAGAGAACAGCACCCATCCAAACAGCTGCCTATCTGAATACTATCAGGGGCCGATGAGCCAATCATCTGTGATGCTCTCATCTACAGGGATGGCAAGTGATATATAACTGTTACCAAGGAAACCACGCAGTAAGACGACAAGTAAACTATCCAGCGGTTGAATAGGGAAATTAAAAGAACAAGAAATAAACATCTCTCGGTAGATTCCTGTCACACGGTGCCACCCAGGATGCATGCACTCAAGGGGCACCGCTCAAAGAGATGCCGTAAAGGGTTGCAACTTGCCAGCCGGGCCAGTGCTTGGCAGCATTTTTTCAAACGAGGATCATCAGACGGGACTGGGTCCAATCTGAACTCCAAATTTTCCCATGAGTAAAAGGGCACAGATTCTGGGCATGTGTGGTCAAATGCAGAACCTTTTAAAAGTTAAACTATAATGGCTTATTATTACTGCCAGCGTGAATTGATATTTCCTTGAAATTCTCTGTCATTACCACCCTGTTTCCTCACAGACAGGCATTTAGCAAATACCAGGCACGCTTTCTGCAGCGAATGCTGTCCGAATGAACATTTAGAAACTCAAGTTCCCAGGACTCGAAGGCAAGGTGAGGGCCTGGGAGAGCTGTGTTTGTTCATCTCTGAGCCCCGAGAATTTTAAGCACTCAAGTAGCTACGTGGATCAGAGCTAAATCCTTTAGGAAGATTACCCATTCGGAAATCTGCAAAATCCGGCCACATAAGCACTTTTCGACTTCACCTTTGAGAAAAGAACTTCATTTCTGTTGCAGTGTCTAAATCTCACACGGGAGGCTATTCCATCAAGGCTGGAGCTGCGAACATGCGAGTCTGCATGCTGATGGCCCTCTAGCTGATCTTGGAGCAACAAAAGGAACATGCTTATGGCGGGAAGGGTCCTTCATGGGCACAGGAGTGGGCATGAGCAGTGTCTCGCTTTAGAGTAAAATAAACACCCCATCCACATCCCCGTAAGGACAGAAAGTGACATTCACACCCATTTACTAAACCCTAGCCTCTCTTTAAAGCAACATACAGCCTGGCTAGGGTTTTGCAAAAATTCAGTCAGTCAAACAAGTTTTCCGCTGACACCCAGCAGCTCCCTCCCAGGCTCCAGAGTTTAAGGACTACATCCAGGCTCCGGATGGTTTGTTAGTCTTAGCATGTTTATCAGTGGAGGCCACGGAAATCAAACTTGATCACTTTAAAACATACTATTGGTTGAACTTCTCTAGATGGCACTGGGCCACCGCTACACTGTTGCTCACAGCCGTTTCCCATCCCCGGCCCGAGATCTGACGGCTGCGCAGCAGTGAGCAATGGGCAGCAGCATGCACAGAGTCCACGGAGGTGTGAAGCCACGTCCCTCGGGGACAGTGGCCCGAAACCAGTCTGCCTGCTCCAGTCACCCTCGCCTGGACACACGTGTGGTCTGATCTGCTGGGCAACAACTCCGGATGGGCTGCTCCAGGGCAGGCTGTTTACACACCCACTGTTTACACACCCACTGTTTACACACCCACTGTATACCTCGCATCCCTCCCGGCTGACTTCCACCGGGGCTGCCCCCGGGAAGGCTGCCTGTGGCATGAGGACTGTCTGACCTGTGTGAGCAGACAGGGAGGTGGAGACAGGCGAGAATAAATGAAGACCTGTAGCCGGGGGGCCAGGCCCGTGAGAGGCAGCCCCGGGGCGAAATGTTAGCCCCACGGCCCAAGGGTCCTTAGCTAAGTGAAGTGAACACGCATTTCTCACTTGGCTGGCTGAGGCTCTCATTCTCACCTGATGCCATGGCCACTGAGGACTGGGAGGAACCCTCACATGATTCTCCCCGGCCTGCAAGCAAGGCTCAGCTGGCCCTGGAAAACCCCCGCTGCCTAGCCCCCGAGGCTGTGGCAGTGCCAGGGGCGCAGGCCAGCCTTTGGGGCACCTAGGCACAAAGGGTGGGCAGGGTCTTCTAAGACTTCCCGCCCAGGTCAGGCCCGGTTCCCACCGCCCGAGCCCAGACCCAGCTCCTGGGCTTCCAGGAAGACTGGGGAAGCTCAGGGGGCAGCTCTGCCCACGGCACACGAGGTGGCGACATGTGGACCCATCGCTGGTCCCTCTCCCTACAGAGACCTCTGCCTGGAGTGCGACTTTTCTTTCCCCCCAACAACATGCGAGCACATTTTGCCACCGGTTAAGGCTTCGGACGCCCGGTGCCCACAGAAAGGCCAAAGGTCTTTGTCTCCGTCTCCTTGAATGCGGCATGTAGGTCACTGCTGGGCACAGCGGGGCAGCCCACACGCTGAGTTTTCCGGGTGCGGGGTCTGATCCCGCACTGGGGGAAAGGGCCACTTGTGGTCCCATCGGCTCGCAGGGACCCCAAGCCCTCAGGACTCCGGGCTTTGCCTGGCAGGAGCGGGGACACGCATCTTCTCTGAGCCAGCGGGTCTCCCGTGGGAAAGCGGGCTGCCGCGAACCCCGGGGTGCGCTGGGGCGCGTGTTCCCGTGTGTTCCCCACCCGCGGAGCCACAAGCCCAACAGCCAGCAAGCAAGAAGTTGCACGCAGCACCCCTCCACCTCCCCACCCCCTCCCAGGCCGCCGGTTTGGGTCCGATCTCCAGCCCCGCTGCTCTCCCGGTGTTTGCTTCTCCCCACATCGGCACACGGAGCCCCAAGTTGCCCGCCCCTGCGGCCCCGGGCGCAGAGGAGCCGGCGTGGCGCCTACCTGGAGAGCTTGGCGATCTTCACGAAGCTGAAGACATCCATGCAGGCGGCCGGGAACCCGGAGCGCCGTGGCTCCGACGCCCCGTCTCAGGCCGGCAGCCTCCGCAGCCCCATGGCCGGCGGGACCTTGGCGCCCGGGCCGGAGTGGCGTTGGCGGCAACGGAGGCCCGGGGGCCCGGGAGGCGGTGGCTGCTACCCCCCTCCGGCCACGGGCTGCGTGTGCATCCCGGGCGGGACCGGTGGGCGCCCGCCTCGGGGAAACTCACTGGAGAGTGGGCGGCAGGCGGCGAGGGGCGGGGAGAGCGGCCGGGTCCTGCGTGCGCCCCCAGCGCTCCAGCCCGGCGGTGGGGGAATTGAGCGGGGAGAGGACAGCTCCACGTCTAGCCAGGCCCGGGAGAGGGGGGGAAAGGGGCACTGTGACTGCTCCCAGCCCGGCCCTGCTGCCCCGTGCACCAAGGAGCCAAGGAGCGCAGCCCGAGCCGGCGCCCAGCCTGGCACACAGGCACCCCTCCCGGCACTGCAGCTGCCGCCCGCTCCACCCCCCACCCTGGCCGCGGAGGGGGCGGAGGGGTTGTGTGCCTCCAGATCGGAGGTCAGATCGCACAGTCTCAGGCACCCCACCCGGAAGGCGAAGCCCCCCTCTCCCCTCCCCAAAGCAAAGGAGAGCCAAGGACCGCAGGTTGCCCGAGCCTCCGCTCGCTTCCCAAACAGAACTAGCGATGGGAAGGGGGGGGGGGGGCCTGGCCGCGCCGGGCAGCCGGTCGGGGGGCCGTGGTGGGAGCTGCCCAGTGCAGTGGGCTCCAGCGGGGAGCGCAGAGTTCCCACCGGTCCCCCCGGACCCGCCGGAGCGAGACGTGCCAGCTGGGCAGCCTGGGGACGTGTGTCTGGACCGCAGCGGCGGGGAAGCGTCGGAGAAATGAGAGCAGAAGATGGGGAGGCATCTGGGGGCGGCGGCACACAGCTGCCGCTTAGAGGGGCGCGGAGCTGGGGGTCCCGGGCGCCATTGGCAAGGCTGCGGATGGGCAGGGGCTCCACCGCGGGGAGGAGAAGGGAGGAGATGGGGATCTGGCAGGCAACGCCAGCGGCTCTCTCAGAGCCATCAGCGGGGAAGGGAGAAGGAAAAACAAAACCCTGCTCAGAAAAACAAACCCAACCAGCGATGCTCACCTCAGGCAGAGTAAACTCCAAGTTGCAGCCATGGGGAGCTGGCTGGGCTTTTACATAATTGGCGCTGAGGCTTGCCCCTCTTCAGGAACTCCGTCTGTCTCGGGGCGCAGGCTTCTCCGGCCCCCCTTTCCTGTTCTTGCTGTCGGAGTCTCCAGGCCTCTTGGCCAAGATCCTTTCCAATCTCTCCCCAGGCTCCCTGAAGGTCAGATGGCCGCACAAAGTGTGTGCTCTCCCCTCTCTCCCCCAGCCCCCCCAGCAGCCCTCACCTGATGGCAGGCCCCATGGGGATCCCGCCCCCAAATGTTGGAGGAGCTGGCCAGTGGCTGCTTGCTGTCAGAGGACTGAGGGAAGAGGAAATGGGCTTAAAGTTCTCCGACTCTTTATCTGTCCCTGCATCTTCAGGATTCAGGCCCACCACTGCCACTTTGTTTTCCGAAAGGCATCGCTTTCAGCGATTAAAAAGAAAAACCGGTGGCCATCCGAAAAATGGAAACTCAGGCATTGAGATCGCATTGTTTTCAAAAGAAACAGAATCCATTTTCCTTTAGCTTCTTAAAGGCAGATGAGTTCAATGGCACGGACGAGGTTACTACACAGGATTCCACGAGGCGAGAGGGGCCTTGGCTTTGAACCCCCTGACGTTTGTGGGAATAATTATAGTTTGGGTCTGCGCTGCCTTTCGTTTTTAAGCGCTTTGCATGTGAGTCTCATAGCAACCCTGTCATATAAAGTAAGGCAGCGTGGTTAAAAACGAACATTCTTTTCTTTTTATGCCACAGTCTATTCTCGATGTTCTAGATCCGTGGTCGGCAAACTGCGGCTCGCGAGCCACATGTGGCTCTTTGGCCCCTTGAGTGTGGCTCTTCCACAAAATACCACAGCCTGGGCGAGTCTATTTAGAAGTGGCATTAGAAGAAGTTTAAGTTTAAAAAATGTGGCTCTCCAAAGAAATTTCAATGGTCATAATGTTGCTATTTGGCTCTATTGACTAATGAGTTTGCCGACCACTGGCCTAGATAAAGAAATGCATTTTAAACGTGGGTCATATTGGGGAAACTCTCTCTGCACAAGTTCTCCATTTTCTCGGAAGCTGAACCTGACCTCCTCCTCCAATGGCCAGCAAGTCCCTGGATGTCTGGCCCTTGATCTCCCCGCCATCATCTGTTGCTCCCCATCTCCTCGCCACCCCCACAGCTCCAGCAACACCCAACTCCTTGCTATTCTTCCAACTCTACAGCTATCCTCCCACCTCAGCTCTGACTCTTCGCAAAGGTTGCTCCCTCATCCCGGAATGCCCTTCCCTCACATATTTGCATGGCAAGCTCCTTCACCAAGTTTCTGTGTAAATGTCACTTACACAAAGCCATCTCTGAAAGGCCCAGTTAAAGTTGCAGGGCCCTCACACTCTGGACTTCCAAGCCCTGTTTTGTTTTATTTTGTTTTTCCCCTGCCTTCATAGCACTTATCAGCCAAGAGTGCATTACATCATTTAAAAAAATATACTTTTATTGATTTCAGAGAATAAGGGAGAGAGAGAGAGAGAAATACCAATGATGAGAGAGAATCATTGACCAGCTGCCTCCTGCATGTCCCACACTGGGGATCGAGCCCACAACCCAGGCATGTGTGCTTGACTGGAATCGAACCTGGGACCTTTCAGTCCGCAGGCACACACTCTATCCACTAAGCCAAACCAGCTAATGCTACATAATTTTTTTTTTATGTCTACTGTTTCTTATCTGATCCTTCTGCTGGGATAAAAGGGCCACAAGAGCAGGGAGGTTTTTGTTTTTCTTTTGTTTTTGTTTTTTTACTGGTGGATCCCAACTGTCTAGAACAGTTCCGTAGATGGAGAAGTAACTAATAAACATTTGTTGAATGAATTAATGCTATGCTCATTAGAATCACAGCCAAACCAATGCAGGCAAAGCATCCCCAGTGGGTACTGTTCCCTCTCTGACTTCATTGATGTTTGTCCATCTCCCTACCACTCACTCCTCCATCCATCACAGCATGCTGCATCCTCCTTTGGCTTGCTACTGATGGCAATAAAAGTGCTCTCACAGTTTACATTATTCCCCTTTGACCTTTCTTCCTTGCCCGAAAGGAGCCACCAACACATTCCTTCACTTCTTAGTCAGCATCAGGCAGCACAAGTCCGGCTCCTGAGCAGGAAAAGGGTGAAAGCAATGCCTTTGAAGAAAGTTTTTGAAAAGAGTGCTTCCTTCGAACAACTGGGATGACCTTTTTAAAAAGATAAGCCTATTAGGAAGAATTATCCTATATGCTAAGTAGTTATTTAACAGTGAAAGTGACAGGAAATAGACATAATGTTTGGTTGTAGAGAAAGGAGTCTCCCTTTAAGACATCTGGTCTACCTGGAACAGTTTGCTGCTGGGATTCAATGGGTGCCCATTTGTGGGCTACAGTTATACATGGTACAGAGGCTTACTCTCTACAGCCTAAGAGCCAACAGGGCAAACAACTCGCTTCTCCAGATCTTCTTCATACTCCTGTGATATATTGGTTATCGAGTATGTTTTCTAATTGGTTGGTATGTTTTTCTAAAGTGCCAGGAACAAATTCCAGCATGTAATAATTACAAGAATTCCATCAAAAAGTTGATGGGACTTGGGCAGCTCAACAAGGGTGAGCCACACATATGTAATTTACCCATTGGAACTGGCTAAACAGCACTTCCCCCAAATCTGAATAGGATTATTGTTAGCTGCCAGATAGCTCAGTGCATTTTATTGCCTCCTGTTGGCCAAACTCCTGAACAGCTGTATGCTATTCCCCAAACTGACAATCTCTGTAAACCCTTTGATACCTTACCCTTTGAAGTGTATGTCTCCACCTTGCCTTGGGACAAATTGTGTTTAATAAAAGCATGGGTCCTTGGTCAAGGAGGAGAGTATTCTAGCTCCTTCAGCTGGAAGCTCCTTTGACCTCCAATGCCTTTCAAAACTATCCTTCGTCCACGGACTCCTTCTTAATCATCTACATGCAGCCCTTTCTCCAGAATGCTGAACCTTTTGTAAGGCTGGGAAAAGAACTCCGGCATTTTGACGCCCTAATGAGGGACACAAACACTAAAGCAAAGAGACTCTCGCCCTCCTTTATTTTTTTAAGAAAGAATCTGTTCCCCTGAAACATGCTCACACATTCAGTTTACATCTTCGGGCCCCTTGGCAGACAGGCAAGGATGTGAGAGCTGATTTCTCAGCTCTGCCCCTCTCCCAGCCAGGTGTGTGCAGCAGAGGTTGGGAGAGGTTCTTTGTCCAGCATGAAACAGATCTTCCTAAAACAAACAAACACCAGTGAGAGGCACTGGAGCACATCCATGATTTTCTCAGATTTCATCTTCAGCCTGGATCCTTCCTAAGGCCCCTCGTAGAGATTTATTCATTGGAAACTGGATTACTCCGTCTTAAAAGGCTGTTTAATGAGCTTAACATGAATCCAAGTGACATTTGGTCGTTTCTAAAAGCCAAACACACTTTCAAACACTGTTGAATATATTCATGCATAAGAGACTCAAAGGGTCCTGGTTGGTTTGGCTCAGTGGATAGAGCGTCAGCCTGCAGACTCAAAAGCCCCAGGTTCGATTCCGGTCAAGGGCACATACCTTTGTTGCGGGCACATCACCAGTAGGAGGTGTGCAGGAGGCAGCTGATCTGTGTTTCTCTCTTATTGATGTTTCTAACTCTCTGTCCCTCTCCTTCCCTCTTCGTAAAAAATCAAATCAATGAAAAAAAAAAAAAAAATATATATATATATATATATATATATATTTTTTTTTTTTTTTTTTTTTTTTTTTTTTTTTAAAGAGAGAGACTCAAAAGCATCAGCTCCGGGCAAGTCATTTCCCTTATGAGACTCAGTTTCCCCACCTATAACATGGAAATGATAACATCTGTAGCTAAACCAGAATAAGCCCTGGTGCGTGGAAATTGAGCCACGTGGATATAACACCAGAAAGGTGTCCACATCTATCTTAATTATTGGCAGCGCTATTAGGAAAAGTTGCAACCTCCAAGATCACTACTTTGAAGCTGAGAACATTTACTCTCTTTTTAAAATATACTTTCATTGATTTCAGACAGGCAGACAGGGGTAGAGAGAGAGAGAAACATCAATGATGAGAGAAAACCATGGATCAGCTGCCTCCTGCACACCCCCCACTGAGGATGGAGCCCGCAACCTAAGCATGTGCCCCAACGGGAATCAAACCGCGACCCCCTGGTTCACAAGTCAATGTGCAACCACTGAGCATGCTGGCCAGGCATGATTTCTCTTTATTTTTAAATCCTCACCCAAGGATATGTTTTTATTGATTTGAGAGAGAGAGAAAGAGGGAGGGAGGAGGGAGAGAGAGGCATTGATGTGAGAGAGAAACATCAGCCTGTTGCCTCCCGGCATGCACACTGAGTGAATATCGAACCCGCAACCAGGGCATGTGCCTTGATTGGGAATCAACCTTTGATCTCCTTTTGGTGTAAGGGACAATGCTCCAAACAAGTGAGCCACGCTGGCCAGGGTGAGGTGCTGGGATTTTTGAGAAATGAGGTTAAAACAACAGAAAACTACTATTAAAAGTAATAAAGGAATAATTGTTTCTATTTCCTTTCTTCCTTCTCTTTTCTTCCTTGCTTTTTTTACTTTTTCCCTTCTATGCACGTCATAGTATTTTACCTGGGTGGGGGTGGGACTAGAGGTTAGAAGGCGAAGGCAAGACAAGCTGGTTTTAAAGATACCATTAGTATTACAGAAGGAGCTGAATCATGCTATACATTTGTAAGTTTTCACTTTTCTAAAGGCTTTTATTCCATTAGTCCTTGAAATAGCCCTGTGAATTAGACAAGAACGTTATTATTATTCCATTTTAGCTATGACAAAAGGTGAGACCAGAAATGCGCCAAGTGATGGCAATAATTTTCCAGAGAATGAGGATTATTAGATCATGGGAAGCATTGATTTCTGGAGATATGTCTAGCAGCAGAAGGGAAATTTTGAAAAAAAGATTTGTGGAATAAAAACCTCTCAAGTTCGCTCTAGCTGGTTTGGCTCAGCGGATGGAGTGTTGGCCTATAGACTAAAGGGTCCCGGGTTTGATTCTGGTCAAGGGCACATGCCTGGGTTGTGGGTTCGATCCCTACCTAGTAGGGGGCATGCAGGAGGCAGCCAATCAATGATTCTCTCTCATTATTGATGTTTCTCTCTCTCTCCCTTCCTCTCCAAAATCAATAAAATATATATATTTTAAAAACAAACATCTCTCAAGTTCTATCAATATAACTCAATTTTTTCTCTGTCATATTTGATTATCTTAAAGGAGACTCAAAAATTAAAGATGCTATTAGAAATTAGGGGCATTAGAAAACAACAACTAGGATTTCTCTCTTCCATTGCCAAGTCTGTAAGCAGAAGTAGCCCTTGAGCTATCACTTAACTTTCCTTTTTTTTTTTTAATGTATTTATTTATTTCAGAGGGGAAGGGAGAAGGAGAGATAGAAATATCAATGATGAGAGAGAATTATTGACCAGATGCCTCCTGCATACCCCCCACTGGTGACTGAGCCCGCAACCCAGGCATGTGCCGTTGGCTGGAATTGAACCCGGGACCCCTCAGTCCACAGGCTGACGCTCTATCCACTGAGCCAAACTGGCTAGAGCCACTTAACTTTTCTTAGTGTTGACTTCCGCATTTGTGAGCTTTGTGGGTACCAATGAATTTCAGGGTTCCCATGCCCTCCCCCTTCTCATGCAATGCAGGTGAATCTTCCTAAAGGTGTGATATTTTTGAGACCCTATTTACCTAATCATTTCACAAAATATACATATAACAAGTCATGATGTTCTATACCTAAAACTAATACAATGTTATGTCAATTATATCTTAATTTTTTAAAAAATTTAAAGAAGGTTAGGTTCTATGGGAACAGATTCGAGGTCAGATACTTTTACCAGTCAATTGTGTATCTATAAAATAGAAAGTGTTAGCTCATGCTCCTATAAGCTTAACTGTAGTCAAGGTTAAGAACCACACTCGCTATATGTACTTTCTACTAGGCTATACTGAGTCATCTATTTCCTTTGTATCTTTATTCCTCTTCTTTCTCACCCAAAAGCCTCTCAGTGTAAGAAGGATTATAATTACTGCTTTCTCACTGCATTTCCTCTCGTCTGATGAAGTAAAGAAGAAAAGGGGAAGAGGTCATTTCAAAGATTCTGCTGGTGTATAATTTCCAGAATATGAATTCTTCCTCTGACATACTCTGTAACAATATTTTGAATTCCTGTGCAGCACTGTGTAAAAAGAAAATCATAATGGCTATTTGTCCGAGGCATATTTAAATATTTGAGACCCGTTTTAAACCTCTCAGACCTGGACTCACTCTTATGCTGTCTATTATAACATGATGTTCCTGCATCTGAGCCCCTGATGAGACAAAAATGAATGAAAAAGCTTTGAATAACAGCTCTTCCGCTTGATGGATAAAGTGCTCTAGTCCTGAAGGGTATCATGAGAGTGAACTTGACAGAAGATGTATGTACAAAACCAGCTGCGTTCAGACTGATTATTTCAGGCTTTTGAACTCTCATTCATGTATTAATTGATTATTTGCTCATTTATTCAGTTAGTATTTAGTGAGCATCAACCACATACCATGTACTATATCCGAGGCCCTGGAGAGAGGAAATCGAGATGAATAACCCTTGATTCCTGTCATCAAGGACAGCTGCAGATATTTCCTTCTGCTCAACAGGCAGCTCTCTCCTTCCATGTGGAAATGAGTCCCTTTTTTAAAAAATCTGTATCTGTTGATTTTTAGAGAGAGAGGAAGGGAGGAACATGGATTTGTTGTTCCACTTATTTATGCATTCATTAGTTGACTCTCGTAGGTGCCCTAACTGGGGATGGAACTCACAACCTTGGGTTCGATGCTCTAACCAACTGAGCTATCTTTCCAAGGTCACCTGGGGGCCCACCTCCAATCCATTTCCCCCCTCTGTCTGCTTTCTGTTTCCAAATGAGTTCATTGAACTTGAACTGCGGCTATCATCTTACTACGATGAGACAAGCACAGACAGAAAGTCCAGCTATGGAAGACACACTGAAGCATGCAACAGATTAGCTTATTTCAGAGGGAAGGGGCGGGGCAGGAAGAGATTAACCAGATGATTTACAGTAGGTTCTCTGGTTATGTGGGAGATCAGTTCCCACGATGTGACATTTTCAAGTCAGAACCCACCTACATAAGCACCTACGACCCTCACAGTGTCCTATCATTGGCCTTCTGCTCTACTCATGGGACTTCCCCACATTGGACCTTTCTACACTCTCCTCTGAACTTGAGAGCCTATATACACTGTCTCCCAACTATGTTCTACAGTTTAATGCTACTTTGCAGTGAATAATAGAGGTTTCAAAGACTGGTTTTATGTGCATTTGCTCTCTTTCAAGGATGACACAGCAGTGATGAAGTGACACAGTAAAACCATTTTAAAAGAAAGATTACAATTCCTGACCTTTACTTGTGCTAAATAAATAATAAAAAACACAAAGCACTTATGTACATATGCCGAAATGATGGAACTTTAAATAAATAAATAAATAAATAAATAAATAAATAAATGGGAGATGGCGGCGTAACCATGAAACAACATACGTCAAATGGGAGGTAACCCAAGACTGTCCGTATATGATATGCATAACCCATCTACTGACAATAGGATGGGAGAGGCAAGCCCGAGGAGGGGGCGAGAGTGGGATGGAGGGAGTCAATGGGGTGAAGGGGACAGCGGTAAGCCTTTCAACAATAAAGATAAAGAAAATAAAGATATTGGAGATAGTGGGGGGATGCTGACAGAAGAAGCTTGGCTCAGGAGGATCTTGTTGAGTTGTAAAACCAGCCTCAACTGCTGACCTTCAAATCTCCCATTTCATGAGCTGATCAAATCTCTTCTGTGTTTTTTTTTAAATATATATTTTATTGATTTCTTTACAGAGAGGAAGGAAGAGGGAAAGAGAGTTAGAAACATCGATGAGAGAAAAACATCCATCAGCTGCCTCCTGAACACCTCCCACTGGGGATTGTGCCTGCAACCAAGGTACATGCCCTTGAAGGGAATCAAACCTGGGAACCCTCAGTCCACTGAGCCAAACGGGATAGGGCAAATCTCTTCCGATTTTGCTGAAGCTTGTGATTAAGGAGTATCCTGGTATTTGCAACTGAATGCAGGCCTAGTTAATACAAGGGGTAACACTGGCTAAGGGAGGGCCAGGTAAAAGAATTTCTTAAATAACCACAGTGTGCAAACTATAATAAGGCAACTATGTAAATAACTGGAGTGTGAGATGGATGATCATTACCACAGCCCACGTGAATATAATGCCTTCCAGTTTAGGAGAGGTGTCTGCACACACCACCCCAGCTCCCAGCGCTCCTCGGAGGCAGGGAAGATTGCCTCCCTTTTGTAAATAATGCGTGAGGCTCCAGGAGGTTAAGTGGTTTGTCAGAGATCACAAGCAAGTGAACTGGAAGCAGCAGCCCTCAAACAAATACATTCCATTTCCAGGGCACTGAGCTTTCTATATACCAGGGCTGTGGTCGGCAAACTGCGGCTCGCGAGCCACATGCGGCTCTTTGGCCTCTTGAGCGTAGCTCTTCCACAAAATACCACGGCCTGAGCGAGTCTATTTTGAAGTGGCGTTAGAAGTTTATGTTTAAAAAATGTGGCTCTCCAAAGAAATTTCAATCCTTGTACTGTGGATATTTGGCTCTGTTGACTAATGAGTTTGCCGACCACTGCTACCCAGAGCTATCTCCATCAGCACAAAGGCCATTGGCCTGAGGAAGCCCTGGAGGGAGGGTGTTGAAGAGTCAGGAGGGGTGAGCAATGCTCAGAGGGGGAACATCTCAGGTGGGGAAACAAGAGGAGGCCTTAGAGAACAGGTAAGCCTGAAAAGAGAGAGAGAGAGAGAGAGAGAGAGAGAGAGAGAGAGAGAGAGAGAGAGAGAGAGAGAGAGAGAGAGAGAGAAAGAACAGGTGAGCCTGGCCAGTGTGGTTCAGTGGTTGAGCACTGACCTATGAACCAGGAGGTCAAGGTTCAATTCCCGGTCAGTGCCCGTGTTGCTGACTGGATCCCCAGTGGGGAGCATACAGGAGGCAGCCAATCAATGATTCTCTCTCATCATTGATGATTCTCAATCTCTCCCTGCCTCTTTCTTCCTCTCTGAAATCAATAAAAATATAATAATAAACAAACAAACAAACAAAACACTAGGCCAGAGGGGAATGCTGAGGGGACAGGAGCACTGGGAATGGAAAGAGACTACGGTACTATGGTCCTAGCTGGTGTGGCTCAATGGATAGAGAGTCAGCCTGCAGACTGAAGGGTCTCGGGTTCAATTCCAGTCAAGGGCACATGGCTGGGTTGCAGGCTCAAATCAATAAAATTTAAAAAAAGAAAAGAAAAAAAAGATCGGTGTCTGCCTCACCCATGACAAGCACTGGCCCAGAAGGCTGCCACAGAAATACTGTGGCTCATGGGCCCTGATCCCCTCTCCTGGGCCTCAGGGATAAATTTGGCTACAGACATCAAGGAAGAAAAAAAAAGGGGAAAAAAAAGAAAGAAAAAAAGAAATGCCAATTAAAATTAGACTGAAGAAAGAGAGAGAGAGAGAGAGAGAGAGAGAGAGGAGAGAGAGAGAGAGAGAGAGAGAGAGAGAGAGAGAGGAGAGAACGGAGGAAGGGAGGAAGGGAGGAAGGGAGGAAGGGAGGAAGGGAGGGAGGGAGGGAGGGAGGAAGGAAGGAAGGAAGGAAGGAAGGAAGGAAGGAAGGAAGGAAGGAAGGGACGGACTCTGGATTCTTCAAGGCCATTCAGTGTATGGCGGGACCAAGATTTCTCTACTCCTCACCCTACTGGATCCTTGCTCTCGTCACCCTGAGAAGACTTGGGGTTTGCTTGCTGAAGCTTAGCAATATGAGAACTCCTGTCGTGAAGGGCTGTCAGCGTTAGCCAGGGAAGAGCTTTTCTCATGAAGTTTCACTCTGAAGAGGCTGAGAGATGTCAATCTATCCCTGTGGAGGGCCTCCCCGTCTGGAGGGAGGCACCCATGCCTCCCAGAACAGAGCATGTGTTTGTTGGGAAGGAAGGCGACAAAAAACACCACAGGTAGAGAGAGAGGAAAGGGAAGCCAGGACAGGAACTTCCCCACCCCCCTACCCTGCTTTCTGCCCTCCTCCGCCCCAGTGCCCATCAAAGCTGACTGTCAAGATGGGAAGATGACTCACTCAGAAAAGTCCTGCTGGAAGCCGGCCCCTGGGTTCCTGTGGATTTCAGATTAGCCAACAAGAGAGCGCTTTCTTTCTGGCTGCACCCCGCAGAGCCTTCCCCATATGGTTCCCTTCCGGTGCTGTGAAACCCAAGGGTTATTCTACTCACTCCAGATGCCTGGTAGCTCAGGATCGCCAGGCTCCAAGAGAATCGTCCAGAAAGTTAACACAACCTACTAGGGCTCGCAAGCAAAACCTATGGCCAGATCAGAGGGTTTTAACACAGTGGAGGAGAGCTTTGGAACCTCAGTATAGAAGTTTTAAAATATATCTAGTTTATTGATTTCAGAGAGAAAGGGAGAGGGAGAGGGAGAGGGAGAGGGAGAGGGAGAGGGAGAGGGAGAGGGAGAGGGAGAGGGAGAGGGAGAGGGAGCGGGAGAGGGAGAGGGAGAGGGAGAGAGAGAGAGAGAGATCAATAAGAGAGAACCATTGATTGGTGGTCTCTTGCACGCTCCACACTGAGGATTAAGACCAAAACCAGGCATATGCCCTGACCAGGAATAAAGCCATGACCTCCTGGCTCATAGGTCGACACACAACCACTGGGAAAACCAGCTGAGCTGAAACCTCACACATAGCGGTTTTACCTGGTTTAGTCTGGGGCCCCAAGAATGCAGTCAAGATCATGGACAAATCCTTTGCATAATGATTTAAGATCTCTGGTTAGAAGGGGCTGTCTCTGCTAAAAAGTGCAAGGTTTGACTTATGATTCGGCACTACCCCTGCAGGGCACTCTCTCTCTAGTGAAATGGGGGTGAAAAGATTCCAGGTGATTTGCAAGCTGGGAAAAGCATTATGCAAAGCAGAAATTCGTTGACCAGTAAGCCTTGGTAGTAGAGAACGCTCACTGATTCATTTTTTTAAATTTAATTTTTTAATTGATTTTTTACAGAGAGGAATAGAGAGCGAGAGAGATAGAGAGTTAGTAACATCGATGAGAGAGAATCACCAATCAGCTGCCTCCTGCACACTCCCTACTGGGGACATGCCCACAACCAAGGTACATGCCCTTGACTGGAATCGAACCCAGGACCCTTCAGTCTGCAGGCCAATGCTCCATCCACTGAGCCAAACCAGTTAGGACTCACTCATTCTTTCATTCAGTAAACATTAATTGAGAATTTACTGCATGGAAGGCATTTTGTAAGATACTGTGGCTCTAACTGTGGACCAAACAGATGCAGAGCCTAGCACTTTATAAAAAACAAACAAACATATTTTTATTGATTTCCGAGAGGAAGGGAGAGGGAGAGAGAGAAACATCAATGATGAGAATCACTGATTAGTTGCCCCCTGCATGCCCCCTACTGAGGATCAAGCCCACAACCTAGGCATGTGCCATGACCGGGAATCGAACCATGACCTCATGGTTCACAGGTTGACACTCAACCACTGAGCCACACTGCCTGGGCAGGCCCAGCACTTTCATACTCCAGGGAGCACCTGCTCTGGAGTTCCATCACCCCCACCACCCACATTCTGTCAAGCATATTAAAATGCACACATGTCATGCATAAAATAGACTTCGCTATACAATTTTTTAAGGGATTTTCCAAGTATTTATAATTCTGAATTTTGTTCAGAATTAAAATTTCACATTATTATTGATTTACATTCTCATACAGGCTGGGGCAAAAGTAGGATTACAGTTTTGAAATGTGTTTCAGTTAGCCGGTTGCTATATCATAATCCCGTTCATTTGTGTAGACATTCAGTGACACATTTATTACTTTTTCTGTCACAGCTGATTTTCATACATTGGAGGCCAATATCTTTCTACACATCCTGAGGTTCAAGTTATGAACTAGACCCTTGGAAATGTCAAAGGCACTTGGTATTTGGTCTGTCAAATGTAAGATATCTGACAACCCTAATGGGCCTTCCTATTGTGGAACTTACCTTCTGTGTGTGAAAATAATTACTTCATTATCCAATAGTGCATACACTTCCAATTATGACAAGAGCTAAGACAGGAGTGTATAGAATGGTTTATTAGCATTGAACTCAGGATCTAACCTTGTCATGGGAGGAGGAGAATGTTAGGATAACTTCCTGAAGTGATAAGCTCTGAGCATCCCTCTATATAAAAGGCTAATGTGCTAAGTGTCTGACCATCTGACTAGTTGCTATGACGCACACTGACCACCAGGGGACAGATGCTCAACACAGGAGCTACCAAGCTGCAGTGACTTGGCAGCAGCGGTTCTCAAGTGACGCACCCTGAAACCAGAGAAGAGGGAGCCTGATTCCTCACAGGGCTGCGAAATTCCTCCTTCAGCTGTGGGTTATGTTGTTGCTGGGGCATTGTTGGCCCCGAATCTGGTTTACTGCACACTTGCATTTCCATTCCACACCCTGTACAACAGCAACTTTGCAGAGTGTCCTCTCACAATACGGGACCCCTTGGGGAATTGTCAGAGAGCCGGTTACAGCCCGATCCCCACAGGCCAGGTCGAGGGACCCCACCTGCCAGAAGGACCCCTGCTCACTCTGCAGACGCTAGGGAGGGGCTGCAGGAGGTTGGCTCCAGGCATGTCCAGCCCATCTCTCCCAGTCCCACCCCCTGGCCACCTTCTAATTAGCTCTGGGACAGTGGTCGGCAAACTCATTAGTCAACAGAGCCAAATATCAACAGTTCAAGGACTGAAATTTCTTTTGAGAGCCACATTTAAAAATATATATATTTTATTGATTTTTCACAGAGAGGAGGAGAGAGGGATAGAGAGCTAGAAATGTCGATGAGAGAGAAACATCGACCAGCTGCCTCTTGCACACCCCCTACCAGGGATGTGCCTGCAAACAATGTACATGCCCTTGACCAGAATGGAACCTGGGACCTTTCAGTCCACAGACTGAGGGATGTGCCTGCAACCAAGGTACATGCCCTTGACCAGAATCGAACCTGGGACCTTTCAGTCAGCAGACCAACGCTCTACCACTGAACCAAACAGGCTTTGGCAAGAGCCACATTTTTAAAACTTAAACTTCTTCTAATGCCACTTCTTCAACATAGACTCACCCAGGCCATGGTATTTTGTGGAAGAGCCACACTTAAGGGGCCAAAGAGCCGCATGTGGCTTGTGAACTTCAGTTTGCTGACCATTGGGCCTATGCCAAAGAAAATTCAAAGGTTGGTGACCATTGCTGCTCCTTGGAATGCCCCTTAGAGAGCACAGTTCATTTGGTCACACCTCAAATAACTCAATAAGGCAAACATAATCAGAAAATGTCTTGACTTCTCTCTGTTATTTCTACCAAATATCATAGAGCTGACCTCAGCTTCACAGAGCTTGAGGCGAGCTCAAGCATGTCCTCTAATTTATACTCCTGTGACTACAATACCACCTCTGCTCCATACATAAAGAGCCCATGCATTTCTCAACACACAGCAGTGAAGCCTGACAGGCTGACTCTATACTGTCATTAAAATCTGTCTTCTGCTGCATATTGCTAGGATATCAAGGCCACAGAGATGAACTCAATATATTCCCGTTTCAACTTCACATGTTTGGGGATGTTTTCACATCATTAGGCTATCTTCTCCTCTCCAAGCTAAAGAAGCCATCACCTGCCTTAATTTGAAACTCATATTTTCTTTTCTTGGCCTTTTGTCATTTCCCTAGCTTTTCATCGACCTCCTCCAATTCTTCCATATGCTCTTTTAAATCTGCAGGTGTAAATTGCACCCAGACTCTAATAAAGCTGATGTTTAACCATGTAAGATCAATTTTCCTCATTCCATATGGGTGACATCATTCATTGGTAACATGTTAATTTTAAGATTAAACTGAAAATTCCTCTTATACAATATCATAGGGAACTAGCTACTAACATTGGAACAAGACAGAGAAACAGCCATAGGCTATTAAACAAAATCTTCTTGTCTATTACTCAGTGATGATCTGAAATACATACTAGGATATCCGACTGAACTTTTTACAGAGAAAGTTATGCATACAGATTGGGGCCTGTATGTAACATCACTAAAGCCCCCTTTGAAAGTATATGGCAAATGCTTATTTTCATAACATGTGGCCCCAATCCAGACACAGTGCTGTCTATGGACCAAGGAGGATGACTTGGTCTAAGGTCAACCACTATTGTCAAACAAAAGATTACCAAAATCCTTTCACTTGAGAATTTGAACCCAGAGTCACAGGTAATGAGGTCAGTCAGCAGTGGGTGATAAAGCTCTAAGGGCATATATCTTGGTCTGGCCCTTTAAATTTTTAAAAATATATTTTTATTGATTTCAGAGAGTGAGA